AAAAAAAAAAAAAAACAGATTTCACGTGAAATTTTCTGCTTCACAGCATATTAAAAGTTAATGGTAGTATTTTTCCGGAATTGAAAGCCACCAGCTGGAAGAAACTGTGAGACTGAAAAAGCTTGCTTTTTTCTTTCAAGAACCGCACATATTTTACACCGATGAAACACCGTCTTTAGCTGCATGTGGAAGCAACGAAGGGCGGTAATAAGAGTTCTGATTGTTTTAATCACTAAAATTTTTTTTAAGAATTTACCTCCCACTCGGTAGTGTTAACAGTTTATTGTTCTTCAGAGTTACAGGAAATAGTATTCGTTCCAATGCTTCCTGTTTCTTGCATGCTGCGTTTGACGAAAAAAGTCAATAAGGCACATTTAGTTTTTGAAACAGAGGCACTAGTAAAATATTTAATGTAACCGAATCTTTTTAGAATAGCCAGTTTTGCGTTGAAGGAATGCATATGACATAGAGAGTTTTATTCCAACATTTAACAGGATTGCAAAAAAGGTTTTTTAGGTTGTCGGAATGGTACCCTTGATCCACTTATCACACTTCTTGTTGTAAGAATAAACATGAGCTCACTTTATCATTCTGTTTCAACATCGTGTGCTGTAATTCTCCAAACCAAAAAGGCTATAACAATAGCTGAAGAAGTAGCGAGTAGCTGAAGAAACTGTCAGAATATAAAGTACTTTCTTACTGATTCAAAATCTCATTTTTTTCTATCCCTATTACTGTAAATCAGAATAAAGTGCTTTGTGTATCAAACAAGCTGAACTTATGACATCAGTAAATTAAAAATCATTAGGTTTTTTTTGTTGAGGTTGTGCTGGATTACAAGTCTCTAAATAAAAGCATGTCGAGTAGTTTGGTAAATCTCGCAACTTTAATAGGAGAGGTGACTCTGCAAGAAACTTGCTTTTCTGGATTCTCTCTTCGGTCTTTTTATACTAGCTCAGGCTCTACTAACCAATGAAGTTTAAAGAAATTTTATTATATTACATGAGAAAAGTGTGAGATTTGACGTGGAGTGGTCTGTATATGTACATATATGCAGACCACTTCATATCAAATCTCACAAACCTGATGCTTATATATATAAGCATCATGTTCTCTCTCTCTCTCACGAGCCCTAGATTGAGCTCGTCTCTCTGCGCTTCGCATCCCTCAAATTCATTTTGACTAGATCTCTCTACAGCTTACGAGAATATTGAGGGGCGTAACTGTTCGATAAGTCTGGAAAGTTTTTCTAATTTGTTATGCAGAGATGCGAGTGCAGAGAATTGATTATCTCGAAAAGTCTTTGTGTTTCGATAACTATTTTCAGTTGTTAACATGGAAATTTTGTTGAAACTGGGCTCATAAAATTTTTCTGGCTATCATTTAACTCGAAAAATAAATGCATTTTCGAAATAACTGCTTTGAAGTTTGAAGCTTCTCAGTGTGTTTTAGAACTGGGTTTGGGCACGTTGACATGGTGAGGTCTAGGCCTGTGTTGAAAAGAAGAGGAGTACTCAAAGAAGACAAGGTTAATTTGATTTGACAGTTTATTTTCCTTGATGTGAGTGATTTTAACGAAATTTTATGTTGATTGCCTATTGCTTAGCAGAAGGTTAAACAGAGGAGGCTGGAGAAGCTTCTAATTCGCCATAAAGAAGGACAGAAGTGGTATGATTATGCAACTGGTGAGCGTGCAGAAAGTGCCAACAAACCGTTAGAGGTTCAGAAAGCGGAGACTGAGGCTGAGGAATTGTGTCGCCGGGAGTTTGATATTTTCACTCGAGGTATTTCTACTGGCACTAATGTTGTTACATTTTAAACATAATTTTAGTAAGTTTTTGGGGAAAAATAGTAGATGTAAAGGGCAGTGAATTATTAGTTTTTTTTATTGTCTTGTAGTAAAGTTAAAATTTGAAGCGCAGCAGAGTTCTGGTGATGGTGATGCCAAGTGGTTATTAACCGTGCTGAATAAGGGGACTGCTGCTGATAAAGCAACAGCGTTGCAGCTAATGGTACAAACGTCCCCAGTTCATGCCTTTCTTTACATTTCATCGGCTGTTGGCGTTATGGAGAAGAAAAACATAAGAGAAGCTTATTCTTTATTAGGTAGAAAAATCCGACTACTGCTACTCCTTTTCTAGTGATTTTCTTTTTCTCATTGGAAGGAATTTTTCTTATTTGTATAATTCTACTTTCAGGGCTACTTGGCGATCTTTTCTTGAAAAATCTTCTACCTCGGAACCGAAAGTTGATTGCTTTTTCATCTGTAGGTTCTTCTTGTGTTTAAAACAAGTTACATTTTAGTAAATCGCACTCGGTCTTGATTTTTATCGCAACCTTTGCGAAAACTTGATTGCTTGTGTTTCCTTTAGATTCACTTTAGAGACCTATAAGTCGCCTTGAAGAGCTTTCTAAGGGTAACCGTTGTGAAATGGAACGTAGATTGATATTGTGGAAGTTTGAGTCTGATTTGAAGAACGTTTATAGAAGGTTTATCGCAGTTCTTGAAGTTTGTTGTTTGTGTTGGTTAATTGGTCTTCGAGTTATGTTCAAGGTTTCTTAGTTTTAATTGTATATAATATCTTCTGTGATGGTGAGGTTTTTTATTTTACTTTTTTGAGAAAATTACTGGATGTACTCTGAAAAGCATTAGTGTACAAGCATGCCGAGTGGCCCTAAATCTTTTGGCGGAGTGTCCAGAACAAGAGCAGGTTCGTTTAAAACTAGATAAGTTTTTCCAGCTATATTCTACTGCTTAGCGGGATTCATTTTCTGTCAAGTATGCCTTATTTGGAGGTAAAATTTATTGTTTTCAGAGTTTGTTGTCACTTTTGGTAAACAAATTGGGTAGCCCTAATCAGACATTGGCTTCAAAGGTTTTGACTTTTCTTGTGGAGCTAACTTTTCGACAGCCAAAAATGAGGGAGGTTATCGTTCATGAAGTCGAACGTCTTATATATCGCAAGTACGTCGTTTGGTGCAGATTAGACTATTCCAGTTTATGCATCTAAATTTTCAAAGTTGATTAGTCTATTTTACCAGATAATACTTTTTTAGGAATGTTTCGGAACGTACTCAATTATACGCAGTTTCATTTTTATCTCAGATTCAGTTGCGGAGCGGTGAAACAGAACTTGCGGAGTATCTTCTTAAAATTTATTTTGGACTGTTTAGAACGCTTATTAGTAGAGGAAAGGTTGAAGACAAAATACTGGCCGTATTAATATCAGCTACAAATCGAGCGTATCCTTTCAGTAACGGTTGGGTTTACTAAAAAAATTAAACAAAAACTATTTTCTGTACCTTTTTTTTTGGGACTGAACTTAGGGTTTTTGGTTTGTGTATCTAAATCTGTTTTTGTAGGAAATACGAGAAAGTTTGCAGAGGAATTAGACCTCTTGTACAAACTAATACATCAGTCAAATTTTGCAACAGCTGTGCAGACGCTTAAACTGTTGTCTCAGTTATCTAGGTAAACCTCTAACTTTTTGAAGTGGTGATTTGACACTTTAAATTTGCGGCAGTTTATTGGTAATTTCTTATAGTGGTAACGAGAGTGATCGTTTTTACAAAGCGCTTTATCGGGTTTTGTTCTTCACAGGCTCTAGTGTTTTACTTCATAAACAGATGCTTGATCTCGTTTATCGTGTCTTGAAGACAGATAGAGATGAATCGAGAGTAATTGCATTTATCAAAAGAATACTACAAGTAATTATTTGCGGGCATATTATCTTCCAGCGCTGCTAGATCTTATTGGAAATTCATAGCTTCGTATTCTTGCAGCTTTCACTGGTCCAGAACGCTGGGTTTGCAGCTGCTTCTTTAATTGTTGTCTCCCGACTAATTTCGGACCGTCCAGGCCTACTGAGATTTGCAAAGAACTCTCAGGTTCTCAGGAATTTGTCTTTCAGTCTTTTATTGTTTTGTTATATTTTGCTTATATCAAAGAATATATTCGAGTTAGGTTGTTTGGGGATATTCAAGTTAGTGCGCTCTGTCGCTTTTCTATTAGGCGCCTTGGTAGCACAGTATTGGCAGAGTTTATTGCATAATTTTTTTTTTGATTGATTTTAAGGTTGCCAGTTCTTCACAGACGAAGGCAAGTTTAATAAACGATGATGAAAATGAGCATTTCGAGGATGTTAAATTGCCTACAGAATTTGAGGATAACGAGGAATTTTTGGGTGAAAAATCCAAAAAAGAGAAGGATTTGCTTTTAGTCCAAGGAAGCTGGGTTCATGCAAAAAATATTGGTTAGGTTTCCTTTCGTTGTGCCTATAAGAGCCTTTGTCTGGAGGAAGGTGGTTATTTAAAATGGTTTTTTTTGCCATCTTTCTCTTTTCAACTTTTAATGCATAAAAGACAATTTTTCGTGGTTGTACCTTTTGTTCATTTAGTTTTGAGGGACGAATTGAGTGGTTATGACCGATTTGCTCGCGATCCTTCATTTGCGAAGGCAGATTCAACAGTTTTTAGCGAATTATTGCTTCTTCAAAATCACTATCATCCATCAGTGTCGCTTTTCGCTTCTAATATTATAAAAGTAAATGATTTGGGACTGGTTTTTCATTTCTTTTTATATGACTAAGTTTCATAATTACAGGGTATTTTAATTAACTATGATGGAGACCCTATGGTTGATCTTAGCGCAATACGATTTCTTGATCGTTTTGCCTACAGGAACCCAAAGTCAGCTAAGAAGTCTGAAGGGACTACTGTTAAGAATATCTTTAAGAGGAAAGCTTATACTCCTTTACTCGCTAAATCCATTGCTGTAAATTCGAAAGTATGAATTCGTTTTTAGGATTGTTTTAGTTCTCGAATATAGCTCAAGAAAATGTATTTAATTGTTCTATTTGTTTGGTGCTCGATTTTCATTTTGTGGGTAACTAATTTCATGCCGATTTTGAGGTTGCTATACAGAAATTTGGTGGTTGCAGGAATATATGGAGAAAGAAGCCGCTGAAATTCCCAGTGACGAACAGTTCCTTCATCGATTTGCTGCATCTAAAAAGTTTACCAAAAACGAAGTTATTGATGGCGAGAGTAATGCCAGTGATATTGAAAGCGTAAATTCTGAAGAGTTTGAAGAGTATTTAGGTATATCTGTTGATTTACTGGATAAAATTCGTGTAACAGAAAGAATGTTGACGGGATGAATGTTTAGTTTTAACATTTTTTTACTTCCACTATCATTTTTTTTCAGCTTTAGTTTCTCATTAAAGGGTTTTTCTTGTACAAAACATGGTTTTTAATGAGGGGGTCATCTATTTGTGTTTTCTTTTACAGACCGTGTGGAAAAGAACATAAAAGGTGATGCTTTCAATGTCAGTTTTGCTCAAGAGTTAAATCGGGACAGAAAGTCGATAAAGACCCGTAGAAGAAAGGGTTCCGTTAGCAAAAATGCTGCCTCTGGCGAGGAAAGTGATGTTAGCACTTATAACTTCTCTTCGACTTGGTGTTTTTTGAAGCTTCTATTATTTTTTTTTTTTAAATATAAAATTCTATATTTTAGGAACTCAGCGATGATAGATATAGTGACGGTTTGGAAAGCGAGATTAGTAGTTTTAATTCAGTGGAAGATATTGATGAAAATTTGAACGAGGATAGTTTGTCTGACAGTGAATTTGTTGAGCGAGTAGGTTATGCCGAAGATGCTGCTATAAGTGCAGATAAGGTATTAGTTTTCCTAGCTCTAAATTTTTGGATAATTGGGTGGTCTAACATTACATGATGAATGTTTTGTTTTAGTTTGATGAAATTATGGAAGAAGAAGAAGAAAAAAGGCAGTTTGGCGGGAAGAGGAAGGTCGCAAAACGTCGCAAAAAGTGAGAGATACTGTATTTTCGTTTCTACGTCTAACAGAAATGACTGATTGTTATTAACAGATTTTGAAACTGTTGTTTTTCAAAGGTATTTAATTATCTCATGACTAATGTTCTTACTGTTTAAATCTCTTTTAAATTAGTGTTGAATATTTAATTGAAGTTAGTTTGGGATCTTGTCGACGGTGATGTTTGGTTAGCATAAGTTGCTAGGTAGTTACCTGATAAAAAGTTTTTATCACAAGAACCATCGTGGATTGTTATGTATCTTTTCCATTGGAAATTGTTATACTGTCTCGTTTGTTGTTTCGTTGTTGTCTTTATTGTTGTTTTGGGATGTTAAGTGTTATTTTTTTGTTGTGCTAAATCTTGAAATGAGGGCATATTCGTATAAAGTTTTTTGAGTATACTTTTGAGTGAAAAATTACGTTTCACTTGGAATTTGTGGGGGAGAGAGGGTGAAGCGATGGATTAAAGGATATCTGAGAAGAAATGTTTTTTGGATGTATATAGAGCTAAGTAGAAGAGACAGTATTTCTTAAGCTTCGCCAAGCTTAAAATCTTTGGGTTTTTTTAGGGGGAGAGCTCTTAATTATCAGTGCGGAAGCGGGTTACCGGTTCAAGGGGTTGAAATTTTTTATTTTGGCCATATCGTGCATAATTCGGAAACATACTAATATAATGTTTAGGGCTTCGTAGTTGAGGGGTCGGAGGCAGTTATTAGGTATTTTTGTCACGCCGGTTAATAGCAAGGAGTGATATAGGGTGGCAATTTTGCTGAATTTTTTGTCTCAACTGATGTTCCAATTTACTATATGAATGCAGAGAGTTAAAACGTGGTGGATACAGTTTATTTGTATTCATATGAGTGTTGTTGAGAGTTACTGCTATAGCAGCGTTTATTAAAAGACAGGCTGCTAACGTTACTGTGGGGACTGGTGGCAGCGAAGGTAACGACCGTTATGGTGAGGGGGGGAGAGGGGAAGGAACGCACTGTCTGTAGCAGCGGTGGCTGACGCATGAAGAGAAGTAGCCGTAGAGCGGGCATTGTGCGTATGTCTGTTTGCATCTGTGGACGGTGCATATCGTCGTTGCACAATATCATCAGCATATGCTTTTGGTTGATTCAGTCTGTTTATTTATTCTGTTTTTGAAAACCTCCCAAAAACGTCTGATGGAAATAATTTAACATTTTGTACGATCTATGCGTTTAGCACCATTGAAGTATCTCATCATCTATCCCTTCCTTCCGCTTACAGTCGCTAAAACTTTCTGTATTGTAAGTTATCAATTATCTTTTCCTTTTTTTCGAATTTATGCAGTTTACTGCCGTTGCCAATGCTACTTAATGCCTGACCGGCACTTTTCTAGTTTAGTGACGCTTTACGTGATTCTTGCCCGAACTGAGTCACCATAAAATGGTGCAGCTAGAAAATGAAAATTTTTTGATTTTTGGGTACTGTGAAAAAACAGTCAGGTCGTTATTCCCAATCTGCTGGCCCAATTTCAGCAAAAACAAAAATTTGTTTTCACCAATCGGTTACTGACGTCACAAACTTTTCACCTGTAAGTGGGTTTTTTTTTAAAGGTTAAGGGACTTAGCATCTTTTTCTCGTTGCCTTTCGTGGTATCCCTTATTTTATAATTCTATTTTTTGCATATTTTTTTTTTTAAATTTTTTTTTTCAATCCCGAACGTTGCTGCTGTGGTCAGTAAGTACCAGTGAAAAACGTCTTCTTTTGAAATAGAAAAGAAATAGTTACGTATGGCGTTGCAAAAGTGTTGTAAAAAAAGTGCCGCTCGTCAAATCATTGATTTCTCACTTTCATTTTTTGCTCTTTTTTGATAATAAAAGCAAAAAAAAAATTGCAAAAGGAAGAAAACTAATTTTGGTTTAAAAATTTTTTTATACAACAAGTTTTTGATCAAAAGCGGGGATGGTTCTTTTTCTTAATTTTGTAACATGACAAAAAGTGTGTTTTTTAAGGGCTCCAGAAGGGGACTTATTGTGTTTTCCGGTGGGATAAAGAAAAGTATAATGTTAGGGTCTGCAAATTACTGCTTCTTTGTACAGTTAGAGTTTAGAAACTTTATTAGTAAAAAATGAAATTTTTTTTTTTTTTAGTAAATTGTTTTTTTATTATTATTACTTTTGCTATTATCATAATCATAATTGTTATTATCTATTTGTAAATGGAAATTATAGGCGAAGATCGGTATTAAGTGCAGCTGAATTTTAGATTGGTTCGACAATACTGTTGTACCTGTTTTTTGAAAAGCGTGAGGTAAATGCAACACGTGCAGGTTTTGTTGTTGCCATATGTAACCTGATCGCAGTTCTTGCCTTATCCAATGCGTTATGGTTTACAGTACAAAAATTCTATTGGAAGAAATTAGTAAGTTCTTCAATGCAAACTAATAACAGTTGCTTAAGTTTGATGAATAAAATAGCATTGTTTAGTTAAAAATAATACCACAAATTTGCCTGATTTTGTTAGGCGAATTTTGCTAAAGGCTGTCATTTACTGAATATTATGTTGAATAAGTAATAGTAAAAACAAAAAAGTAGATTTGATCAGGAGAAACTTGGTTACTTTTTAGGACATCGTTCTGTCATTTGCGGCATTATTCGTACATTTACTATCGTTCAGCTGTGCCTTTGTTTACGCTTATCCTGATAAATTAAAAGCTGGCTCAATTTTTTATTGCATTTTGGTAAATTTTTTGATATAAAATTTCTTTTGTTTTCCTACTTTTACCTGTCTTGGTATAAATGCACCATCTAGAGCTTAATCTCTTTTTATAATTATGAGAATTTGAACTTC